GTCCCCATCGCCATCGGAAAGCCCCACCCCATCCCCGTCGTCAAGTCCTGAGCCCTCCCCTAGTTCGAGCCCCTCGCCATCCGTAAGCCCCTCCCCTTCTCCGTCCGCTGCCCCCGCGCCGCTTCCGTCCCTCGCTCCCGCTATTCCGTGCGACCCGTTGACAAAGAGCTTTTGCAGTGGGCAAAACGGGGGGGCGAGCTACAGAATAGCAACGGTCGGTGCCACGACCCCCACCTTTGATCAGGAGGGCTCGTTCTCGAATGCCTCGTTGGCGACCCCGATTACAATCAATATCGTCGACTTTGGCAAGGCCTCGCTCCCAGCTCCGGCGCGGACGTCCGTTTCTTCTGAAGCGTACGTCGACGGCTTTGCGCTCAGCATGACGCAAGAGTCATCTGTCTTTGGCACCGTCTTCTACGAGCCTCAGGAGGGGACCGTCACCTTTTCGGTGACCGGACCGGCGCCGGACGGTTTCGTGTACATGATCGAGGGCTTCCAAGCGATGGGCTGCTCGCCTGCTGACGCGTGGCAGGCCGCCGTCAACGGCACGGCCGGGGCGTGCTCCTGGGCGCACACCGCGGCCGGCCTGTACGCGCAGTTCGACCCGGTGACTCTCACGGCGGGCACCGGAGGGATCCCCCCCGCGCAGTGGAACGGCATCTACGTCTTGCAACTGCAAAGCGTCGCGGAAGTCGAGGTCCCCTCTAGTTCGCAGGAAGTGGATCCGCAAACCACCGGGGAGATCCAGGGAGCTGCCGGCAGCGTCCAGTTTGGCGGCGAGTTTGCCTATTCGGCGACGGTTGACGGGGACGAGAGCATCAGCGCATTCGCCGCCTACTTCCCCGGGGAGATGACCCCGGTCGGCGGCGAGAGCAGCGCGCGCCGGCGCGCGCGCGCGCTGCTAGCGGCCGGTGGGACGGTGACGGTGAAGGTCGCCTCCGGGCTGCTGTTCTTGAAGCGGGGTAACAATTCTTATGCGCCCGCGAAGGGCGCGCTCGAGTTCCGGGGCGTCGGCGACCGGTGGGTGACGTCATTCTTCGTGTCCGTGCACCAGTACACCGACTGTGCCCCGGGCCAGTTCAACAAGGTGGCCAGCTTCGCGAACTGCACGTGGGCGGTGGTGCCCAATGACATCAGCCTGACGTACAACGCGACGGCGCAAAAAATGGCGCTGGGCAATTTGGGGAGCACCACGTGGAACAGCGTCTATATGCTATCCGCCGTGATGGCCATTTCCTCGCCCCCCTCCCCGTTGGCTCCGCCGCCGCCGCCCCCTGCTGCGGTGAAAAGCGGGGGCATTGGGGGCATCGGAATCATCATTGTGGCTTGCATAGCTGGCGGCTGTATCGTGGTGGGTTTGCCGCTCCTGGCCATCGGCAGTAGGAGGAGGCGCAATAGGTCCGAAGAACACCAGCAAAGATAGGCAGGGCTGTAATAAGCTTCGACGACGCGTTGGACCCTTTTTTGAATTTCTGATTGAGATCAGGTATATGCTCAGCTTGCAACACAACGCATTCTAGAGATGCGCACCGGAATCAGGACGTATACTAGTGGGCTGATTTCATTCCAAGCCTTTAGCAAACAGACTTTAGGTGTTCGACCGGGTCCGCAGACATTTATTCAGCCAATATCTTGGCCCCAAAGTGACGAGTCTGACGGCTGGTTGCGTTTACAGTCTGTTGCTGCGATTGTTGAGTCGGTCGTTTTCTTTAGCATGTCCTAGCTTGTCCGTTTTATGTGCAACTTTAGTGTACACAGCGCTAAGAAGCATCGAGTGTAACAAATGACGAGGAGACACTTTAATATTAGCATGTATACGACGATGCGGCTCTTTTGGGAGCGCCGTTTGCAGTTGACCGTGTTCTCGCCAAACCATGGCGCACGCATCGAAACCTCACTTCAATGGTGCACCGCAAGGTCTACGTTTGATCTCGAGTCCGCCGCATTGTCCGCTATAAGCTGCAACTCAACGTTAACGGCTTGTTATCCCAGAGCAAAGAAAAGCGAATGTGATTTGTGATCACGTGGGAATTCGTGCCAAGTATACATGATTGTCGTTTAGAGCACCTCAAACCTAGCGGGCGGCACGATTCAGGGACCTCTGGTTACGATCCGGAAGGACGTCACGTGCTTCATTGATCGCCTTTCGCGGGCAAAGTGTCTCCGAAAGCTGCTCAGGAAAGCATACTGATCGCCAAGCAGTACAGTTTAGTACAGTTTTCTTACTGTGCTAAAGCTGAAATTTGAACGGCTATTCACGCGCCCTTTTGCCTGCTCTCTCCAAAAGAACACTCCGATTGAGATTGCTCGTGTCGTTCTAGTCTGATGACTCCTCGGCGGAACGCGTCTCATCTTCGCGTGCTTTCATTGGGAAAGCAGTGGCCTGCTAGTCTGTGTCTAGCTGGGTCCACTTCTTTAGGGGCCACAAGGGCGTGTATAATCAGCTTGTCTTGCAGCTTGTTCCGCTCCGAGAAAGAAGCTTGGGGTCAACTTTTTGACTCAATTCGAAGAGAATAGCAACACTTTTGATTGTTGCCGTTGCTCCTTTCCGCACCACTCTGGACGCTGCTTGCTTCTATTCTACGTTTCCGTTCGACACCAACATACTCATCAACGCAAAGTCCACCCCAAGAAAAGGAGCTCAACATGGTCAAAAGCGGCACCGCTTGTCACCTCGCCGGTCTATTCTCTTTCCCTCTCTCTCGAGTTTTTCGCTCTCAAAGACGAAGTCATCGGCAGAGCTTTCTCCCGTGCGCGCTATCATCGAGTCCCCAGTCTTTTTGTCAAGAGTTTGGAGCAGGGAGTATTGGCTGTAGGCAGTATTGCTGTTGGCGTTGTTGCTGGTCACGGCGCGGCTGACGAGCGTGACGAAAATCGACAAATGGGTTGCACTTTCTGTTCAATATTTGGATCTCAGGGTTGCGCGTTCATGGGGTTCACTAGGGTATCAGGAGTCCCCCCCTAAACGCGAGGAGAGAGAATTTGACGTTTCAACCATAGGGGGGTTCCGCGCTTGCAGGTATGCAGCTTGTTGCTAGGCGTCTGGTGAGAGAGGAACGGCTTGTGCGGTGGCGGGAAAGCGAAGCTGACCAGCCCGGTAATGGCAGTCTTCCCTTGTAAGAGGTTTTCGAACCGGAGGTTTCTCTTCTGAAATCCAAAGAAGGGAGTGCCGTGTATTGGGCCATCGTCCAAATCCCTTCGAGCTCAGATTGCCGTTCCTCTGATGCAAAACGATACGCGAAGGAGAGCGACAAGACGTGGTCCGCCAGCGTAGTGTAGTAGTGTTGCAACATTTTTGACCTAGCACTTTTGAGTGGTTTGAATGCTCCGTTCTCCGTCGGTTGTTGTCGTTCCAAGCCCACTGTCTCAACTTCTCACCTCAGGCGTCGAGGAGATCCGGTCTCGACTTCGCAATATGGAGTTGGCGGATCCAACTCAGGCGGCGACGCTAAAGGCCGGATTGGTGAGTGGTTTAATGTCGGATTATCAGCATCCTGGACTCATAAATGCGGCCCACCTGCATCGACCTAGTTGGGGCAAGTGCCGCTGTTTTGGGCAACATTGGCACTACCTTTCATGCCTTCCATATGTAAACGAGATGACGATTTCCCATCCAGTAGGAGCGCACCCGGCCTGATTGCGCCTGATACCTCTGTGCACTTCGACAATAGACAGCGGTCCTGGAGATGGGATAATGCTCGGCTTCGGGATCAGGAAGCCCTTCAGCCACGTGTCGGCACATGCACCGCCCGTATCGTGGCCGTCTTCGTCTTACGTCACAAAGAACGGACCACGTTCGTCAGTCGGATTACAGTCGGATGCGCTAGACTGTTGTGCTTTGATAATTCAGAGCCAGACTCAAGCTCCGCTAATGGGCCCAGCGCTTCTGCTCAGCATGCATGAGGGCATGCTCGCATCCATTTTCTAGCTGTTGGCATGAATCAGATCTTTACGTTGAACTGGATGCATCAATCTGCACACCGAGCCAATTGCTCTTCGTTTTGCAATCGCTCGGTCTGCTAATAGTGCATCTTAAAGCAACCTGCGCGGACTGTCCCCATACAACTCACAACCCGTCTGATCGTAGTTGGCAAAGCCCAAGGTCACAAAATTAACGCTTTACTGAACACATATTTGCTTGCTTTCATGTCTGGCCCGAGAAGGAGGATTCGATATTTTTAGCTGTACATGGACTCCCAATATCAGTCCAAGACCTGAGAGCGGACCATACACGATTGACTTTGTCGAATTGATTGCTCTGCCAGTGGATGAGGACTCACGCTGTACATGTCATACTAGGCGAACTTATTCGCGTGCATGTTCATTCCTGTTTCAATGTTTCATCCCAGTACGGACTCATTACACAGCTTTCGCAAAGACGTCACGGTGTACGATATTTGTGAGCAAAGGCCGGTCCCGCGGGCGATTCAAACCGAACTAATACACTTGTGACGAAATAAAATGGCTTCGCCGCGAAAGAATCGCATACGCGGGTTTGGGCGCGGCCGCCCCTCTTCGGCAAACCCTCTAGGCGTCGACGGTCGTGCACGTAACCTCCGGATAAGGTTGACAGGTCGGCGGCAATCCAGTCCCGAGAGTAGAGTATACTTCGTGAACCCAAACATGACTGAATTCTAATTCCGATTGACCTAAGAGAGATATGGAGAGGCAAGGCGCCTTGGTGTTGCATCTCCTTGTTCATGGCCACTCACCAAGCATGGAAGCATAAGCATAATGCAGTATGAGAATCTCCGCAGGGTGCCGGTGAAAACAGCTAATGTTCATAGTGCACTGCGGGCCGGCGGCGGCGGCGGAAGTGTATGACATTCTATTGCGGAGACGGGCGTTTATTTCGTCACACACTTATAATTGGCTATATAGCCTGACTAGTCTTTTAGATCGACTCGAAAGTTCTTGCATTATTACTCAGGTAATTAGTAGGACCTAGCTACACCAAATGCCTGCAGTAAGTGTAGCCCGTCCGATCGACCGACTCATGATCACCAATGCAAGTAAGCTTCGAGTTAAAGCTAGAACAGCTAGCCGGACGATCCATCCATGCCATAAATGCAGGAAGGCTTAAGTTAAGGCACACTTCAACTCTCGGATTCAAAGTGAGCTCAATGCCGGACGGCCAGCCTCCCCGGCCCGGGGGTTAACATTTAGTGACCATATGTGAGTCTTCTAATAAAGCGACCAAACAGAAATGCATGGTAAGAACGACACGACTCAGCTGGGCCCTGTGGGCTGAGTCACTCGATCGAGTGACTCAGCCCACAGCACCAATTAACATGACATCACATCAAGTACCCTAGCAATTGCATACAAAATCAACTGACTTTTGTATATAACAAGTCACTAAGTGACAACAATCTTTTCATGAACAATCAACATGAGTAGTTTCTCACTAGAATTGGGGGGGGGGGGTTGTTTTCGTTTCGAGTAGCTATTGAAGACGACTTCGATAGCTCTTGGCAGTCCTCGCAGAAACAAGGACACATAGCTGGTCTGAGAAAACCTTACTTATATGCATAAGCACCTTGCATCATCTGTGTTCCCCTGGAGTAGTTTATGTACACAAAGCTAAAGCCCGAATTCCACCCCAAAACAATTCGACTTGTCGACCCGTCACCTTGTGCTAGAGGGCGGCAGGGAGTAGGAAAGTCGCCCAAGTAGTCAACCTAGCCAATGGTCGTTTTGGCCACTTCACCTTTTCGCTGTTCCAACCCAACCTATGCACTTCAGGCGCCGTATGCGCACGTGAAGAAATGTGCATAATCTGCCTAAGCGTGCTACACTCCTCAAGCCCCTTGCCGAGGCGGTGGTGGCAACGGCTGCTGATCCAGCTGACCGCTTCCCAGCTCTCCTAGCCTGTCCTTCTCTTCCTCGCATAGCTTCTCGAGCTGCTTCGGGACGTTCCAGATGGCGAGCTGGGGAGACAGCTGGAAAAGGCTCTCCAGATTGTAGCCCCGTACCCTGTACGTTGGGGCACTCGTCAATCTCAAGACGTTGCTGTGCGAGAATGCGCATTGGGCGTGTTGAGACACTCCATAAGATTTTTAGTTCATTGGTTGGACTTTCGGTTCGTAAAGCATTACTAAGGCATGACAACAAGCAATGCGTATGCTTGACATAGACGTTCCACAAAAGAGAACTCGCTATATGCGGCTTTGCGTGATTGAGACTAGCACGACGAGTGGCAACCATTGCGCAGGTTTCGGGTAACGGAAACCATTATTTCTAAACAAGAAAAGAAAGACGAGAGACCACAACTTGGCAATGTCAAAAGGGGCACGAGTCGGAGATCCTAGGATTGATTGCTTGTCTATGTTTCCCCATCGCTCACCCAGCCTTACACAGCAGCGGGTAGCATCAACATCTCTTTGGTCATCTTTTTCAGATCAGGAGTAAGGACTGACCACTTACGCATCGGCTTCCTCCTTTGACAGTCCTTCCGTAGGACCTTCTTGCAGCGCACTTCTTGGATCGCGCCTAGTAAAGCCCAAAATGACAGTAACTATCCGATCAGTGCTGATCCTGCCTTCTCACCTGGCCATCTGCAGAAGCGGCTCGTAGCAACACTCGGCCCAGGCCTGGAGTGTCTTCTTCCGGTCGCGGCAGGTCATGCGGATTGCGTTCGAAGTGCCCGGGTCAAGACAATGCAGCGCATAGCAGTGCAGATACTGCCGCATCTTGGGCTTGTTGATGAACCCCATCCCGCGCTGCTTCGCATACCGATACACCAGATTGTTCACCTGCGGAAAAGTGGAGAGAACACGTCTCCGCTTGGACAAGGTGGGAGCAGGGATGGTAAGCGGAGGCTTCAAACAAGAGATAGTAAAATCGTCGCGACTAAAGCACCTGATAGATAATTCTCACCCGATCCAAGCATTCTGAAGGCCAAAAGCCCTTGCGAATTCCGGCACCTTTCGTCCTGATCTGTAAATGACGAAGTAAATCCCAAACGGGCTGCTTCAAGGCCTTGGTGCTGGCTTCAAAACCCGTTTTCTAGACCTGAGTCGATACTCACTCAACTCTCTGAAAAAAATGTCCGCCTGCTTTTTGCCTGTCCCCCCAGCCCTGGACTTAAGAAGTCACAAAGCACTTTTGAGAAAGTAACGTCAGGTCCGGAGCTTTCACCTCGCTCTCAACTTGGTCGCCTTGAAAGACCCTGAATACCCTGACGACTTCAAGATCCGCAGCACAACGCTCGACCACCGCAAGGTCTTCCGCAAACTGAAATGAACAAAGCCGTCCGGAGCCTCACCTTTGCTGACGGCTTCTTCCCCGTGGCTTTCTCCTGCACGCGGATCTCCTCCAGGATGCGCCCGGCCTCTCCGTACAGCTCGAAGAGGTAGTCCAGGCCCTGCTTCTTGCCGTGGCCATCCTCGCCCTGCGCCGTCACCTGGAAGGCCGGACCACGAGATGTGGCCTCGTCGCCTTCGCCCTTCTTCTTCTTGGGCGTGGTCCTGCACGGTTAGAAAGTTTGGCCAATGAGGATGTGGTTTGCTATGTCATGCGAGGTTCTCGAAATGATAGTGAGGCGTGCTGTAGGAAGCTCGTGCACGATGGCGCAAAAAAGCGGAAGGCTTCGTTTTGCCTCCGTTGAAATGGTGCAGTCAAAACCTGGGCATTAAGGAAGGGGACTTGGACGCTTTGAGTGGACGCTTCGTTCGACGCATCGACAAAAAGCGGCCTGACCAAGACGTGCAACCAGTATGTTGTCAAAACTTTCTGCCAGAGTCTTCCTCTGTCATCTCGAAGACGGAGCATTTGCAGCAAGCCTTTGTTCCCAGCTGACAACGAAAAACCAAACATCTACCAGCTTTGTTGCGTCCATCGTGAAAACCAGTACCAGTGTTCTGTCTAGTTCAGACCCTCTGTAAAGACAACTTTTCGAAGCAACCGTTCCTTACTTGGACTTGGTCCGCCCCGACAACTCGGACTGCTTCTGCACCGTCTCTTCGTCCGCCTCCTCACTCTCGTTCCCAAGCCCCCCGTTGACCAGGGACGCGAGTACGTGCTCAGAGACACCTGAAGAAACAGGCCAGAATCTGGCTCAGTCTGGTGCTTCCAGATCGTTCCATTCAGGCACACTGGCATCCGAATCTCAAGGGGCTCGATGTCTCTCCTGCGACTGGCATACTCAGACCCGTTATGGGCTGCTGAAAAGCAAGACTTCTGACCAGACTAGCGGAAAGAGGCTAGCAAACGGTACAGTCGAAGCACTTGGCAGATGGTGAGAGGAGTCATGAGCACAAGCAATTTCAACTCTGGTTTGATTTTACGGCAACAAGCATTTGTGTGGATGCAAGGCTTAACTCTGAGCGATAACCACGTTCCACTTTGCTGTTCTCCATTTCTGGCCTCGAAAAAGCCACTGGGCCTTTGGAGTTCAACACAGGGTTTGGATATTGGAGACGCCAAAAACACCGAGTAACAGACCCTCTAAGCACCCCAGCGGGGACATGCTATACTTCAATCTTGGAAAGTTGCTCAGCTCAGGGCTCGATCAATTTGCAGCTAGTCGATTCCTTCTGCTCCCTGAAAGAGTCAACACAGAACACGGAAATGGAGGCATCAAAAACGATGGTGGACATACCTTGCGATGCTTTGCCATCCAGCCGCTTCCGTTTCTTTTGGGACTGCGGCGCTGGAGGGTTCTCGAGCAGTGCGCGCTTCTCCTCAAGCCACTTTCTCCCTGACCTGCGCGATGAGAAGAGCTAAGGCTGAAACAAAAGACAACACCTTGAGATGTTTCCCAGAGGAATCAGGTGCATACCGCTGTTGGATTGATGATTGAGCAGCTGAAGGAATCACAATGACTAGACATTGAGGGTTTTTTCTGACTGTCTGCCCCAACAAGCCTCATGCATACAAAAAGAGCAGGTGCGCTTTTATCTTGGTTAAGACGAGCAAGGCCTTCTGAATGAATGCATGCAAAGGAGAAACCAAACGGAGTGTCCACACCTGACCAATTGAGATTGCTCAAAAGGAACAGCTTAAACAACAGAACTGATGAGTTGGCTGATTAGGTACACGTCAATCCCATAACTAGCCGCAGAGACATGATGTATGTGCAGTTGTCCTTGGTGCGAATTCTGGGATGCTGAGTTCATTCTGCATAATCACCAGAAACTCTGAGAAACAGCCCTTACCGGCACGCCATCTTCACCCCAAACCGTTCGCCAACGAGGAATTTGATGCCGCACTCGGAAATCATCATTTTGATGGCCTCAGCGACCTCCTCGTCATTCATGCTGAGTAGCGTGTTGAGATTGAAGCCCTCTTCCTCCATCCTGTATTTTCACAGAGAGAATGCTGTCACAGAAAGCCAGGGCTAAACTGATGGTAGTTGAACCATGTAGGACCTGGGCAACACTGGGCGTGCATTAGAACCTCCTCGAACATTTAGTGCGGCAACTCGAGGTAGTCAGAACCAGTTCCTAACCACCTTGCTTGGCGAGAGTGTCAAGTTCTGATCAACAGGGTCGCTTGGAACTAGATCCGTTGAGGCTGGTCCAGAGAAGACATCATGGCCCTTGCCAAAAGACCTGGGTTTGAAAGTCCCTTTAAACCACCCTCCAGAAAACAGATGTCCTGAGATGCTAACCCATACGGGTGATTCACTAACCCTATATGCACACGGGTTGCTTATATCCCACTAAGAAAGGAAAGCTGCTGCATGACCTAGATTCTAAAAATTCTAAAAGCTTGGATCTGAAATAACAACATCGGCAGAGAACTCGGCGCTGAAGCTCACAGTAGTCGATTCCGGATCACAACTCACCTGCTGATTGTATGCTCCCGCACCCCGTAATCTTTCAACAGGTCATTCATAACCCTGGAATCATCAAATTGTTCCGCTGCCGAAGCCACTTGCTGCGTCTGTGTCGTCAAATGCTGCTGAGAACCTAAGCCGCCTGCCTGCTGTACTTGGAACTGGTGATTGAAGCTGTGCGGCAAGATGGAATTCTCCTGAGACAGGTACGAAGTAGGGTTGTGTGCTCCCTGGTTTGCAATGCCCAAGCTTTGCGCCTCCGGCGTCTGCAACCCCATGGCCTGCAACGCCTGACTCTGCAAGCTGCTATGGCTCTGCAGGCCATGAGACTGTAAGCTATTGTTCTGCAGGCTGTGAGATTGTAAGCCATGGTTCTGCAGGGATTGTAAGCTATGGCTCTGCAACGCATGGCTCTGCAAGCTGGACTGCAGAACATTCTGAAAGTAAGCCTGGTCCCTGAGGGAATCCCGATGGAAGCTCTGATTGGAAATGTCCAGGGACTGCTGCAGACTGTCCTGGTCTCTAAATCCAGCCAACCCGTGCCCCTGCATCGTGCTTACACCTTTCCTAAGTTCCCGGCAACTTTAGGATTTTGTGATGACAATCGAAGATGACCGGGTGGATACCAAGACAATTGCCAAGACTCCAGCAGCAGGATGGAGGGGTTCTGTGGAAAAAACTTCCAATCGGATCGATCCTGTGGTGGAACAGATCACGGTCCTGAGCTTGAGCAGGGCTCAGCCGGCAGAACCCTGGAACAGCCTCTGGTGGTGCTTCAACTGCTAACAATTTTAATTAACCTGGCGACTGGCATTTTACCTGCATGGAACACCAAAATATCGTTAGTGACTATATTAGCCGGGGGAACATGTATGTTTATTGGCTCTATTTGATATTGATCTATTCATGACCGAGAGACTTGCCAAACAGGTCCTTAAAGCTTTTGAACATTGCAGCTGCTGCACGCCATGACTCCCCAGCAAAACGACATACCAGCTTACAGTACCAGTTCCCTGTGACTGCAAGCTCTGAAGGTCTCCAGCTGCAAAACAAGCGGCTTTACTAGAACATGCAGCAGCAATATGTTACGCACCACATTCTGGCAATGGTGACGCCACAGCAAACCCATTAAAAAAATGGCAGACAAGGAGAGGGAACCCGGTAATGTGGCCTAATGTGAGCAACTGACAAGAAAAAACCTTTGACTTCCCCATGCCAACGAACCTCATGTCTACTTAAACATACATACTGACAGCAAATGCAGGAAGCGTTCACGGTTCAGCAGATTCCATCCGCAGCTATGTTCCCCTTTTGCATGCTAGAAACCAAAAGCTAAGCATATTCATTGTGATTTACCACCCTGCTGTTGTTTTGTTGGCCGTTTTGCATGTTCAAGCCTCAGTTTTTGTCAGAGATTAAGACAAACAGCAGCAATGAATGTGCCAAAATTCAGTTGTCCCTTTGCGGCAAGCACAACAATTGTGGAAGCCTTACATGTGATGCATCTCACAGCTCCACTCTCTTTCCTTGTGCTCCTTCAAAATGGAAGGCTTCGCGGCCTTCTCTGATGGATTTGGTCTCTATGTTCTCGTGGTTTTGGGGTAAGTCAGCACCTTAGCCACATGCCCATCTACCATCTACCGTCGATCTGGAAATGTAGCAAACGCTCGAGTCTCCCCCCTGATGGACCTAGAAATTTGTTTCCCTCCGAGACAAGCTGAAGAAGCCTTTTGTTCCTCCCGTGGTCCGTGTTGCTCTAGCAGCCCTACGGTCCTCCCTGTAGCTGAGTGAACCGACCGCCGGTGCAATTTTGGCAGGGCGCAGACCCAGGAATCAGGACCAAAGTCGAAAAGCATCATATGAGCTCTCAGCTGGGGCCCATAGAAGCCATGGCCGCCCGCACACTGCGGCTGCCAGCACCTAGCGACAAAAGAGACAACGAAATGGACGGTGAACCGTGAAGCGCCCGCCATTGTCGCAATCATCGATGTCATGGTTGCACCGCAGTGATGTCATTTATGGTACGTACCTGATATCCCCGAGGCTTTGACTCACCGGGAAACACCAGGTCACCGGGGCCTCTTCAACTTTGGCCCTGGAAGACCGGGGTTGGACAACATTCAGCGCGAGTTTCGGGTCGGCGGCGGCGACCGTCGGCCCTTCTGAGCAAGACGGTATGCATGGGCCGGTTCTGTATACCTCATCGCAAATAAGCAATTTCTACGCTTGCATGACGTGTGCACAAGCTGGCGTCATTCAGCAGACGGTTCCCTGTAAAAGAGCCTTTAGGGTTTTAGGGTTGTAGGCTTTTAGGGGTTTAAAGGTAGAGTTTGTGAGGACAGGGTTTCAATTTGCCCAGCAGGATAGGGTTTACGCCTCTGTTTCAGCTGGCCAGCCGCCTGCTCGACACCATGTCACCTGGACTGGCATAGGTATACTTTTAAACATAGGTAGGTAGTCGTTAGCAGGGGTGACAGTGGTTTCAGGAACCTCTTCAGGAACGCCATTGAATACCTACATTAGATGTCTAAAGGATGGGTACGGTGGCAGCGGTGACAACGTAGAGGCAAATTTTCAGAGTTTGTTGAATGAAGACCTTTTGCTAGCTCCTGGCAGGCAAGTTGGAAACGCGCAGCTACAATGGCGGACATATCAGGCATGGTGGAGTTTGAGATGTCAGATGAGCCAAGTGCGACCTTTCCGGTCGGCGCCGGAGGGCCGATCATGAAGATCATGCGATTCTTCTACCCCATCCCAGTGCATTTGCTACATATGTTTACAGGACCTGTCAGCTTGTATTCATTTGTGAGCCAGCATCCTTCCTGTCCACTAGCTTCTGAAAACTTCCTTGGTGCTCTCTTTATTTCTTGCAAAAGCCGCATGGTCGTGGCATTGTGCTTGCATTTTGCATTTATTGAGTGTAACAGAAAATCTGCGTCACTGCTTTGTTGAGCTGACAGGATCGAATCTTTCCCAGCTGATTGGTCGAGCAGCATTGCTTGGAAAAAGTGCACTTTAAAGGCACTGCCACAGAGTTGCCGGGGGTTTGGTAATGGTGCTGCGTAGGCAATGCTGCATGCTTTTCTCAAAGTGGTGTAATGCAAGCTTGGGTGTTGTAAGATGCTGATTCTGCTCTGGTGCCAAGCAGCATTATGGTTTGTGCTGAGCGCACTCATTTGTCAAGGAAGTTATCCGTACATGCAACTTATAAAGCTGCGTCGCCCAGTCCAATCGTATTCTTTCTTTGGTCCTCGTACAACACCCCCTTTTACCAGTTTGTTCCATAAGTACTGTACTTCATTGGTCTTGCGTCTGTGGAGACACTCGATCAATCTTACTGGAGTCACTTGGTGAGAGTACAAGTGAGAGCACGAGAGTGCTATCGCCCTTAGGAACAGCGTCTTGTCAAGGCTCAGCAGGGCACTTCTGTCATGTTGGTTGCTCGCACCCTTTTAGGTGAAGTTGTAAGCAAATTCAAGCATTGTTTTTCAGGTTGCCGCTGCGAATATCATACTACCGAGTTGAGATAGCTCTATGTATGAGCCAGGTGGAAAGTGCACAAAGTTCTGATGCAAATGGTGGTGTGCGGCCCCTTGTACTACGCGTAGTTCAAAAAGGTGCTAAGGAGGTGCACTTGGTGGTCGAGGGAATTCCCCAGTTTAGAGCTTAACAACTCTTATCCCAAGTCAAGCACGTTTCCGCGGAAGCGAGCACAGGTCGAGTTGGACGTAGTGGCTGACGCCTCCCTTTTTCACAGATATGCTTCACTTTTTAATTCTGCTCGAAGCATCCTCATTTCTCCTGCAGTTCCACATTCTTCGACAAGCCCGTGGGGAGAACAACATGTTCAAGAAGCAATGGGACTGGCTTCGGACTAAAAAGTGAGCCTTATTGCAGTCACTCCTAAGCAGGGCTTGGATCGGGTGCTTTGTATCTGCAGTGGAGGGCGTGCAGAGAGTTGACTATTAGACTGGATACAAGATTGCAAGCATGCTGAGTCATTTTATAGGGAACGCTGTAGACAACTCGAATCGTCTGTCTGCAATTGCATTCTATGGCTGAGGCCCGATTGAAGAGGAACATCTGTCTCGGCCTTTGTGATGACAAAGCGCCCCCATTGCAGAGAGTGCAACCGTTGCGGAGGCTTTGAGCATGAAATCTGCCCTGTGTGCGAGTCTCGGGGCTCCCTTCCCTATGAGAGGTGGGGACCACTTCTCAACAGCTACATGGTGCCATATCAAGATGTTCTGTCGCGTGAGAAGGTCCAAATCTCGTTGGCATGCTGCTTTCGCTAATATCTTCTTCGTCTCGTCAAGCTTGGTCGTGGCAAGGATCTTTCTGAGTTTGTCGCATCTGCAGCCTCTAGGGAAGAGCATCACCGTTATGTGTGGAAGGCCGCTTCTGTATTGGAGCTAGCGTCAAAACTTTCACATGAGAAAGAAATTCTGGTAGATTTCCATCATTCTTTTTCATCCTGACGCAGACCTCTTATAATGTCATGTGAGCTTCCGTGCGTTGACAAGCAAGGTAGACTGTTTAAGATGGATTGTTGTTGCATTTGCCTAGGGAAAGAGCTACTCTCGTTTCGCTGCCTCTCAAAAGGAACTATCACAACTGGAGGTTGCGAAGAGCACAGAGTCAACGCGGTTATCTCTTGCTCCACTCTCCAGCAAATTTGCCCAGGCCATGTGGACAAACGTCCACAACCCGGAGCTGCTTGAGAAAGCAGACGCAGAGGGAAAGGAGTTAGCAGACCTGGTCGGAGGAGAAGCAGGGAAGATCGTTGGCAGGGCGCGGGGCCTGAAGGCGCATAAGGATGAGCTGAATGCGGAAATGGCATACAGCATGAGCAAGTTCAAGGTCCTGGGGCAGAAGCCTGGGATGCTGCCGTGCAAGGCCTGTGACGGGGAGGTGAGCTTCGTATCATATGAGCTCAAGGATCGGGTTTCTTGAAAGGAGAATTGATCATGGAAGGTTGGATCTACGGGGACTGTGCCTTGCAAGCCTGCAATAGGGAGGTAGCATTGCAAGAATTGGTGGGACAGCAGTTGGGTTTGAAGAAGCATTGATTGGGGTCAACAGGTGGTCAGGAAGTGGTCGGAAGGTCAGGAAGTGGTTGGAAGTGGTCGGACCTGGGTACTCTAAGAGGACTCTTCAGGTTGTCAAGGGAGCCCAACAGTGGACTCTGTCGGTGTACTCGTTTTCTGTCAACTGATAAAGGCAGCACCTCCAAGTGCTGATGTCATCCATCACTGCAGGGCGTCATCAAGTGCCAGGGGTGCCATGGCGATGCCAAGAAGATCGATAATTGGCCGGATATCGACTACGTAAGCACACGTTTCCTCACTTAGAGAGCGGCCAACAATTGCCAAAGCTCTCTTGGTTGAGGTTCAGGAGGTTCATCTACTGCTCAGAGTTCTCAATAGTTCGCCTTACGTGCAAAAGTTGCTGTCAACAAGCTTCAAAGACTGCGCCGATCATATATCAAACCAGTGTTCAGTTAGAAGTTGGAGGGTATGTTTAATATGGAATACGAGGGACAAAGTCTGGCTTGGAGCAGAGGAGCATCTTGGCAAGAACTTAAGAGTGTCCCCAGTATTTTCTGTCCACTATTGCCTGCAGTACATGCACGGACCGGGGCGGGCAATGGACCAGTGGATCATGACCAACCCCTATGGTCAGCCCGTGGTGAGCACTCTTGGCACTCCTTGTTGCTCCTCCCTTTCTTTTTGAACAGCGGATAGTTTGATCCAAGCCTCCCATTCTCGATCCCGTTTCTTCTTCCAAGCCCTGACACGTTCTTTGTTATTAGTGCAAAGTCGACTGTGGTAGAGCGATCGTAGATCTTCTAATCTAGCATCAAGAGATCTATGTCGCTGTTTCGAGAGCAAGCTCGAATTCTCTCTTTAAGACGGGTATGTAGAGAGGAAGTTGGGATGATGTTTTCCCTCAACGATTGTCAGTGCCGAAGTCTTCCCTGTTGGGTCTTGTCTGGAAAGATTCACACCTCCTTACTCATACTCTCGCTCGAGCTTTGCGGGTTTGGCCGGCTCTCTGCTCAAACCCGCAATTCTCGAGTGATGGATAGCATCCTTTTAGCGGATAAGTAGCAAAGATAGAGCCTGTGTCAATTCGGGTTGGACTAGATGAAGATGAACGGATTCGGAAACGTCCCTGATCGGCCTTTTCTCTTCTATGTCTGCTCGAGTAACTTCTTACAACCACTAGCGATGTTGTTCATGCAAACGAACCTCAGATTTGTGGACTAATTAGGGCGAAGTATCCTCTCCATCTGCTTCGACCTTTTGTATGCAGGAGGAATTCAAAAGGGAGGGAATTTCTCGTTCATGTTATCATTGTTAATTCGAGTGCACTGGCGATAAACCTCATGCTGCTCAAGAACGTGCCCCTCACAGCACCTTGTGTTCTCAGCCTACACTGCTCTTGCATCTGCAGACCGACGTTGAAAGGGAGTTCCTGGCGAACGACCCGCACACCGCCAAGTGGTGGACGCTCCGCAAGTACCTGGTGGAGGGGCACAAGGAGCACCTGACGCCTCGGGAAAAGATGGAGGCTGCAGAGGTATGTCGTGTCTAATCTGCAGCAAGTGCAAAGCGGTGGGGTTTATTTATGTTACTTGCATCCTGCCACAAAAGGCAGCTCATGCGACTTGTGCTGGTGCACGTTTCAAGGGCGTCGCACATGCTTAAGTTTGCTCACCAGTCGTTTTGCAACTTAACCCCATCAGCTCGACTCATGGTTCTGCAAGAACGTGGCAATTCGGCAAAAGGCAGCTCGCAAGTTTCCTCAAACCCTCATCATCTTGCCTTCTTATGGAAGTCGGCTCTCTTTCTGAGTCAAACCGTTTGGTTTCCAGTTTCCGACGCCTTGCCCTGCTTTTACACCTCCGCTTACAGGAAGTAAACCACGCAAGGATCGATTCTGTAGACGCCTTTCTTTGCAGGAAGTAAACCAGGCAAGAATCGGTTCTTTACAAGACCGCAGTGCACATATCACCCCTTTGTTTACTCTTTCGTTGCTGATTCCTGAGGGTATTCAAACGCAGGAGGTGGAACAGTTTTGGTGGGACGAGACAACACGGCGTGCGATCGTCGAGCGGCGGCCCGGGTGGCGCGAGAACCTGGAGTTGATGAAGAAAGAAGACCCTGCCTGGGTGTTCAATACGTGGGGGGTCAACCGGCAGTTGGCGCAGGGGCCTGAGGAAGAAGAAGAGATCAACAACGACCCGCTCTCGCTGATGGAGGTAGTTGGAGAAACCACTCCAAAGTCGCGCTTTTTGAATTTGCTATCTTTCAAAGTAGAAGCTAATCGGAGGGAGTCACTAGGAAGACTCTTTACATTTGACTTTTACATCAATTGGTTGCTTTTCAATAACTGCAAAGAATGCTCTTTCCTGCCAATTTAGGCCCGTTCCTTAGTAATGTGCATAAGCAAAGCTTCTTAGTGCTGATAGAGGTGTCCGGGTTGGTTTGAGCTCTTCCGAAGGCTCTTCAAGTCCCAACTTTGTATGTACTTTCTGTTTTCTGAATAGAGGGCGAGCTTAAGAACGCCCTCTGCTTGCCAAAATGACGTCCAGGGATTACCGTCTTGACCGAATCGTCCCAATCTCTCTCCTCAGTCGTCCCTCTTCTTCTCGAAGTTGCAAAGTCTTCACGTAAAGCTGGTCATCGGCAACCAAAGGTCGTTGTCCTTTCTCCGTTCTCCGTTCTCCGTTCTCCGTTCCTCTTTACGAAGCAAGCATTGGCCACCATGAGTCGTCTTTTCTGCTCAAGACTACACAATTCTCCCATCTTAAGCAACCTTCGTTCCACTCAAATTGCTGTCGTCTCAGATCACCTGCCGTGTTTCAGAGCCTTCAGGGTCATGGCTCGTTATCATCGTTTCATGCAGAACCGTTCAGAGCCTCAAGGTCATGGCTCATTTTTATCGTTTCATGCAGAACCTGCAAGAGTCCCCTGAGGTGCGCAAGTTGCGCTACATGGTGATGGGCCCTTACACCAAGCAACTAGAGATGTACGGCCTGGATCCCGCCACGGGCGCGAAGGTCCGGGACGTGCCCAAGTCGTCCGCACGCAAGATCACCGAAAAGTTTTTGGATCTGTACGGAGACGAGGCGGACAACTGGATAGACCTGCGGCGGACGACGAACAGTTTTGGGCTGCCCAAGACCGCGACGCCGCTCCTCCAGGCTGTGCTGTTCGATGTGCCCAAGGAGATGAGGAGGCTGAAGAAGTGAGTTGGAGAGTTATCTGCTTCGAGTTGGAGAGTTATTTGCCGCATACCTTGCTTTGTCTCGTTGATATATGCTGGGACATAGTCAGGAAAGGAGGGGGACTCGGGTCTTGAAGTTACCTTCTGGGTAGCTTCACTCACTTCGGGAAATTTTCTAGTTCATGGATTTGTGCATTGTGAGGAAGGACTGGGACATCTGTGCATTGACAGTGCATCTCTCCAACTCAGCATGAACCAGATTAAACGTTGATTCAAAGCAGGCGTCCAGGTTTTCCCGTCTTGTAAGATCCAGTGGTAGCTCATTTTGGGCAATGGTCGCTCCCTCACTCTTTGCTTTCAGTACAGTTGAGTCACATGAATTGCTGACGTTATGCAGCTTGACAATCTTCCGCCCCAATATCTTACTAAAAACTCCTTTCTTTGCAGTGAGCAGCGAGGAGATGAACTGGCCGCCTGTATGAACCACCCGACCATCGTGAACCAGTACGCAGAATATATTGCTGCACTAGAATCGGGAGAGTAAGTCCGTTCTGCTACCATCTGCGCAGTTCCAAAATAGCGACATGTTCAAAAAAGTGCACCGCCTCTGGTCATGACCCACCAGAGATTCTGTACATTGGTTCGATATTTTGTTTCATACATTCGACCGGGTTTGCCGGCGTGTAAAGAAGGTCCCCAGGATTGACGGCTTTTGAAGCTGTTGATCTCGAAAAGGGCATCTGTGACCAGCAGTGCCCCCTACTTTTTTATCCATAGCTACTTCGAAGAGATCCACATCTGGAATGAATGCTACTCTTGATATCTGTGGCAATGTAAAAAACGGCATTGCGATCTTGCTGACTTACATGCTGAGAGCAGATATCGTCCTACCTGTTCTGTAACAGCCTTTACTTTCATCAGCTTTGCCAGTACTGCTAGTGTTCGAGGATGGGCTTTCCGAAACAGAGCTCCACAATCTCCGCATGCCGCTGGGTAAATGCTAGTTTTTCTTGCTTTTCCTTTAGAATCCCTTTGACGACCCAGGCGCTGGTGCCAATTCTTCTCGAACACGGATGGACTGCGACTTAGCCATAGCAAGTCATATCCATCTACCTTAAGCGTACTACGTATTAGTTATTTCTTACTAGGTACTTCCTCCCGCCAAGCTGTTCCGCAAGATTTACACCTGCATCCTTGAATTGGCCCTCACCAAACGGAAGCTGCGCTGCAAATCATCCTTCTTCGACCTTTACTTTTCGACTTAACCGCCGTTTCCTTTTCTGTTTTACGGCCCCAGTGCAGCTGCGAAGCTGGCTCGGAAGATGGATGGGAGCATCTGCCGACTTCGCGCTTACCGAACTACAGTCGTCAAAGTCATCTTTGTTCAACTCCTCCCTTTTGCAGCCCTGGCGCAGCTGTCAAGCTGGCCGGGAAGATGGAGAAGTGCTTCTGCGATTCGACCTTCGCAGAAGAATGTACATGGGGTCAATTTGTCTTGGTCAACCTTCTAACTCTTCAACCCGTGTATCCCATCTCGTTTTGCCGCAGCCCTGATGCAGCGGTCGAGCTGGCCTGGGAGATAGACAAGTGCAATGCAAATCTGCCCTGACGAGATCAAACTTAGGCAATTAGTCCATCCTCGTTCAACCTATTACTGCTCTTCACTCCCCACCTCTCCTTTCCTTTTCACAGCCCCAACCTCGTCTCTCATTCTTTCCGCAGCCCTGATGCAGCTGTCGAGCTGGCTGGGAAGATGGACAAGAGCATTCGCGAGCTGGCCCTTGCGCAGTCCGTTGAGCGCGAGGAGAAGCGGCGCAAGCAGCGCGAGGCGGGCCTGGCGCGCATCGCGCAGTTCAAGCAGGACGACGTGGACGCGGGGCTGGCGGCCGTTGAGGCCGCCTCAGAAGTGGTGCCCGAGATCGTGAAGCAGGACCCAGAGGTGGGCGGGCTTTGAAAGATGTTCCTGTTTGGTGCTTTAGTCTATTGCCTTGGCTTGTGGCTAGATCTAGGTTAGGATTACATGAGAGTGTAGTGGCGGTCTTCGAGGCTGCCTCGGCGGTGGGCCCGTGATCGCAAAGCAGGAATGATGAAACGGTTGTGAATCAACCTTCTGTTCCGTTTGGATTTGGGGGTACGGTCCAGTTTAGGGTTCTATAGAGACGGGCTGGCCGCCGTTGAGCCTTTGGAACTGGTGCCCGATGCTGTGAAGGAGGACCCCGACGTGGAGGGAATGGTCGCGAAACTGACTCCGTGGCTGAATCTGGGTCTCTGCTTTGGGCTTTGACATAGCCAGGTCAGGTTTGTAGTCGAGGCGGTCTGGCGTCGGTCGAAGAACAGGACTTCATTTCAGGGTTGAGAGGGGAACAGAAGTTATCTTGAGCTTGTCACTTGCCTTCAAGGAACGCTTCTGCATGGTTTATTAGCTTGTTGTTTCTCGTCTGAAGGAATCACGATCTGAAGAGCAATCAGTCCAAACGTGCCTCAATTCTAGTTGTTTGTCTGTTTTCGTCTGAAGTCGTTACGTTTTGAGGAGTAGTCAGATCAAACGGGCCTCATGAGACAGGGGATCCGCTGGTCGATCAGCAAGCGCCGCCTACCTGGCCACCTCTGACACAGCCACGTCACACCATCGAATCCGCAGGTGCTGGCGATCGAGCAGTCCGTCAAATCCATTGAGACCGCTCGGGATGCGGCGCGCGACCGACTTCTCGCCCTGCGGGAGCCGACGTCCTTCTTCTCGCGCGAGTACGAGGAGTGGCTGCAGGCCTGGCACGATGCCAAGCGCTACGAGAGTCTTCACACCATCCGCGGCGCCGCGCTCGTGCGCAAGATGGAGGCTATTCGGAAGACGACGGGGGTGTTCCCGGCCGCCCAGGATCGAGCGCAGGTGGGCGCACTTAGCTTAGTTCGATTTATGTTTCCGAAGTCGGATTCATCAACTTTCGCAGAGAGTGGACAATGATTCACGCCTTTCCAGCAACTCAACCTATGGACAGTTCCGGTCAGATTGCCCCTTTCCAGCAATCATCATAGTTGGAGACTTTCGGTCTGATTGGATCGAACCTTTCCAGCGTTCATGACAACGGAATCCACTTCAAAAAGCGTCGAGCATCTCCCTGGATCGAAGAGAAACAATCTAGTTACCGCAAGTAGCCACTCCCGCAAACAGCCACTTCTAGATCCAGTCACTAAAATCAGGATGACTGGATTTGGAACAGTTTCGAGTCTTCAAGGAAGATTGACGTTACCCTCGCAACTCTCTGGCAGGTGCGGCTAGTAATGCACGAAGAAGACCGGCTACGACATGCGGAAGAAAAGCGGCTTGGGCGGGATCTTTCGAGGGAGGAGTTCCGAAACATGCTCATTGAGCAATGGCGAGGACAAATTCTGGACAAAGGTGCGATTGCATTTGATTGGGTGCCGTCTCGCCCTTTTCTGACCGTTGATGGCTGTGCGGGCTTCTACTTTTGGAGCTGGCAAGCTGGATCCGATAACCATTCAGGCATGCGGGTTGAAGGTGCAGGTCGAAACAGGAAGGTTTGCAAAGAGGGCACTGAATCTTCGCTGTGGCTGAGAGGTAATGAGAGCTCCTTGAGGTTCGATCGTGGAGTCTCCCATCTCGTGTTTCTTGGAAGATTAAGCATAGATCGTGAAGATATGGTCACGTGCTCGCCTCCTGCTATTAGCCTTCCCCTCCACTTCGTTGCTATGCTTTATCGTCGGTCACTTCCTATATCGTGCCCCTTCTACGTCTTGAGCTACAGAGGAGCTTGGGCGGCTTTGTTATTTAAGTTTGAAACGCCGTGTCTGGCACTCGCCTTGCTACGTACTGGGAGATTGACTGCAGTGTCTACAGGTCTGGGACAACTCTCTGCGCTTAACACCAAGGTTCCTAACTACGGAACTTGCACGCATGCAGATGCTCTGGAGAAGGTATACCAAGACCTCGGCCCGGACGCGGAGGACGTCATCTTCCGGATGGCCGTGAAAGAGAGGCGGGACGAGCAACTAGAGCAGGCGCACCGCGAGGCCGGCAGACTCGGCGAGAGGGAGGACCATTACGTGGCTCTGAAGAGCATCGAAAGCTACGAGCTGTGAGTCGCGGTCCGCTTGGCTCAGATTGTCGTTCTAGTGGATTTTTTGCTGTCTTCGTCCAGCATATGTTCCACCATGTTCATGCGAACAAGTGCATCAAATTAGGAATACATGACTTTTCTGTCGAAGGCAGGGGAGACGGCAAAGAGCCTTGTCAAAGAAAGGGGTATTGACGTTTGGACGCCTTGCAGGACTACTTTTCTGATACAAGTAAGGGCCAGACTCCCCCCACTTGATTACCGAGGTCCTACAATTCTCTCAAGTTCCTGGGCTGCAACCGTTTAAGCTTTCGTTGACTGACTTCTCGCTAATGGACTTCGGACACGTTGTGACGTTGGTCGAAGCCCGTCAAGAGAAAGATTCAACAGACATGCTCAAACGCAGGTTTCTCATTCATCTCCAGTCACTGTATGGGGGACGTGACCATTCAAGAACGGCTACCATCAGTTTTGCCCTCGCTTCAGCACTTTGAACACAATCATATAGAAGTCTGACAAATGGGATGTTTTATTTCCAGAGTGGAACAGTACGGGTAGGACGGCGGTTTACCACACGTCTCACGTTCAAGAACGGTCATCTTCAGTTTTGCCCTTGCTTCAAGATTCTAAAGACAAGAACGTCGTCTCTGACGAGTGAATTTGTTTTCCAGAGCCGAACAGTACGGGTGGGACGGCATCAAGCAGCTGACGTACCCCACCGTCCAGTACGCCCTGATGGACGAGAAAGCGGCGACAGAGGAGAAGGAGAGGGTGCATCGGGAAGCGGTCGAGGCGCGGCGCGCCAAGATCGCAAAGCGGGGCCAGATCGGGACTCGCCTTGCAGAGACGTTTCAGGTAGTTGGCAGAGACATATTTCTTGCACTTTCGAATACCAGCTGAAACTTCTGTGATAGGGCCTTTCATTTTTGCGGAATGCCTCTTGTTGAGTACTTTGCTCAATTACACGCGTTTCTTTTGGGTTTCGGCGCCCAGGCTCTGTCCGGAACTTGTCTTCTGTGTTCGAGCTCTGGTGATGGTTCAACAGCTGTCCAATCGATTTAAGTGCAAGTCTACATATCCTGGTTAACTGCAAATAGAACCTGGCGGCACACACTCCATTTTCATCAGAATGAACCTCAGCTAATGCTGCGCACGCTGCTATACCTGAATTTGTTTCTTCGGCGATTAAGGAGCTAATTTCCGGGCTAATTTCCTCAAGTCAGGTTTTTCAGCCGGCATGTTCGACGATGGGCAGCTGAGTTGTTGAAAGCAATGCAGCGCAGCATCCGCCCTCGCCGATTTACCCAGCGTCAGCTAGCGGGAAAGAATTCCACTCAGTTTTCTTCATTGTTTGCAAGTTCCAGGGCGCGAGAATGACAATCAAGGATGGAAGGGATTACCTTTTTCCTGGGGGGGGATGTGGGAGAAGCCTCAAAGTGGAGAGAGCAAACTGTATTTCGTCTGCAGGGAGCAACCCGAGTACCGACAACTGAAGCAAGACCAAGCACGTTGCGGAGATAGATCAAATCAAAGTAAAGAGCAACGTAGGAAAGACGGGATGTAAGAAAGTCGAGGAAGTCTGACGCCCCTACTCTTCTGTGTGCAGCCCGTAACCGACGGCCTCGGCAAGACGAGGCGCATGATCGAGGGGATCATCCCAAAGCCGCGCCCCAAGACGGACGGCAAGGAGCAGGCTGCGGCTGACGTCAGCAAGATGGACAAGCGGCAGGAGGCGAAGCGCCAGCGGGAACTAGAGCGGGCGCGCGCGGCGGAGAAGATGCGCGCCAAGAAGGAGGAGAAGGCGCGCGCACACAACGACCGGAAGGCGTCGTTCGAGAAGTCGCTGGACGAGAGGTTCGACGGGGTGCTGGCGTTCCTGGACCAGAAAGTGTTCAACCCAATGGAGGACTTTTTCACGGGGCGCAGGTGGGATGTTAAGCGTTTCGTAAGAGATTCTTGAAGGTTTTTGGCTGCCTGGGCTGTGATACTTGACCTTGATACAGAGGCGGGATTGGGTTAAGAATTAGCACTAGGGGAGAAAGTTCATGGGGCGGAGGTGGGATTTCGGGTTCCAAGAGTTCAACGTTCAAGTCAAGATGCTTCGTCTTACACATGAACGAGAACGGGTAAGATTCAGGTAGAAGGAGTTGTTCCAAGGGGCGCACTTGACTTTGAGGATCTTCATTTCAAGATGCTTCTTTGCACACATGGACGGAGAACGGGTAGTATTCTCAGAGAAGACAGTATTCCGAGGAGCGCAAATGTGTTGTGGTGAAGTTACTTTGCGCAGGTTTTCCTATATCTACTCCTTAGACAAAAATGGTGGACGAGTACGGTACAACCTGTGCTTTCAGCGCTCCATCGATGCTCACGGGTTGCTCTTTGTGCAGTCGGCATATCTTAGCGGTCGCTTCAATCCGATCGACCGCAGATGCTTGTGAAGAGTACAGATTCCCACAAAGTTCAGAGCTTCTGAACTTCGAAAGCTTTCCCTAATGCATTAATAATTTCGTAATGCTTTGCAGAAAGCTCCCGCCGAGCCCGGAGCTCACGGCATCCGAGAACGCACGCATTGCACGGGAAGCTGAGCGTGCACGCAAGGCCAGCGCCAAGCAGGCGGCGAAGCTGCCCGGTGTTGCGGCAGCGGCGCAGCGCAAGATCGAAAGGGCGGAAGCGAGGAAGAGGCGAGCGGAAGAGGAGTTTGAGGCGTGGAAGAGGGAGTTCCTTGCGAAGCCCGAGAACAGGGAGTCGGCCGCAGCGGTACGTCCTCTCCGCTTCTCTTTTTCAACGCTTTTCCTCATTATCCGGACGGAGCAGGTCCAGGACAACGTGGTGCTGGTTCGGTCGCTTCATACTTTCGTTACTGCACCTCGCATTCATCGTTTCGTCTTGATTTAGTTCGGATGTTCTTTAGCTTCGACCGTCAAGCTTCCCACGGGGATAGGCTGCGGGCATCGGTCGTCGTAGGTGCCTTAATTTGCGCTCATACCCCGTCAATCGCCCACCATGTTCTCATGCGAACGGCTTTCTGCTAGCTATCCATCTCATCTGCAAAGCTGAGCCAGACGGTCAGCGTTATGTACCTTATGCACTACGGTCACAAACAATTGAAGTTCAGCAGAAGTGTCCATCCCCAAGGCACTTAATGTCCATCGGTCACAATCTGTAGCAAAATTCACAATTTCAGTTTCACAGTTGTGTCCCCAGCCTCTGTTTTGCTGCACGACGAGTACCGCTGCAAGAAGCTAAGGACGTACAAAACTGGCCGCTTTAGATAGTTCCAAGCATGGTTCCCAAACACCGCTACACATGCGAGGCTCGTGGTTACATGTTCATTCATCGTTGCCCTTGCTTCATCTCCTCTACCGGCCACCAGATACCGTGATCGAGGACAACGCCTCGATTTCTGGCTCTAGAAAACTGCCTTGCGAACGTCAAGTGTTTCTCCCAAAACAAAAGCTGCTTCGCAGAGAATGTTCCGATACACCAGAATGGCACATCTCGCCTTTACCAACGTCTGAACGCAAGTTGACGCTTTGATTCCGCAGGAGTCCGTAATCGAGGGCAGAAGGCAGATCGTTGCTCTGGAGGAAAATTGGTTTGCGTCCGTGAAGCGGAGGGCGGAGCACGCGGTGCAGCGCGCGCAGGTCGCGGAGCAACTAGAGCTGGACGAGCAGCTCGTTCTGGAAGCGGAAACGGTGCGGGAGCAACTAGAGCGGGAGGATCTGACCGTCCCGGAGCATGTCGACGTCAGGTGGGCAGGGGTAGAAAGCTCTTCTTGGTTGCCGGGTGTTCTTTTCACAAGAACAAATGAATTGCAAGACGCAGGGGCTTGGCGTTTCACGTTTTTGCTGAGTTCGACGAAACATACCAGGGCGGGGTTTTGGCCTTATGCCGTTTCCCGTGCACACATTTCCCGCACATCTTTCGCACATGTCCCGCACATCCTGATGGAACCCCGGGGCCAGCATGGGGCAGTGTCTTTGACGAGGAGCCGTCCTTCTCTTCCTTTTCTCAACCTTCACTTCGATTTCGCCTCTCATCTTCGACTGGCTCTTGTCGCCTCTGTCGCCGCACTAAATATGTATATTGAACCAGAACTTGCGACAAATAATCTGTACACACAGCTTGCCTTTTGCCTGAAGGGCACGGTCTGGCTCGACATTTTCTGGCCCGTCTTCCAGAAAAAAGTCGCTCTTTCTTTCCCCTCGTAAACTCGCGCCTCGTGCTCTACTGACCCTTGCCAGTCCATCGCCCCAGTCGCACTCATTGATATAGCTGAATCCAACCTCGTATTCACCGAACAAAATGCATTTGTCGCCGTTTACAGGCGGCTTTTGCTGGAGGCACTGGCCGATCCAACGTTTTGTAGCCCATCTTTGGAAGGAAGCCACCTACTCGTTTCCTACCCATCGCAAACTATGCATCTGATGCTCAGCAAAGTTGATTTGCTAAACCAACTTTGCAAATCAAGCAGATCCTATCCTCTTGTTGACCTCTGCACAGACTATCGGCTCAGTCGTACTAAAGCACTCCTTGCCTTACTTGGTTCGTACATTTTGTCGTCTTCCCCAGGCGGTTTTCGCTGGAGGGCACCGTCCGACCCGACGTTCTGGAGGCCGTCTTTGACAAGGAGCCGCTATTTTCTTTCTCTTGCAGCACCGCTTCGAGTCTGCACCTTATCCCCTCCTGACCAAACTACTTTCTTACCCGATTTACTTGTCGCATTTTGCAGGCGGTTTTTGCTGGAGGGCACCGTCCGGCCCGACGTTTTGGAGGCCATCTTCGACAAGGAGCCGCTCTTCTCGCGCGCCACGCCCGGCGACCTGCTGCTCGACGAGGCGGAGCGGGAGTACGACGAGTCCGTGCGCAACAAAATCCGGGAGCAGGTGGGCAACACGCTTGCGTTGCTTAACACCTTTTTTCTTTTTGGAGGACTGGTCATCAAGAGAAATATTGTGCATTTGCGAACTTGCTTTCTGGGGCCCAGGTGACCGACAGCACTGAGCGTTTCGTGCTTGGCTTGGGCTTTCGATTTGGCGTTGGCAAAACTTCGATTTTGTCATCAGGCGGGTAAGGTGGGAGGATAAGAGACCTGGTGTTATGGAGGAGTTCCAACCCGTCATTGGGACAGATAACTAGGGGAATGAAGAACTGGTCATATCATCAGACCAGGTGGGAACAATAACAACCGAGTTGGAGCGTCTTTGGCGGTAACAAGATCGCTGATCGTTGACAGAGACACAGTCACAACATTGACAATTGAAGGAGATTACAGGTCAAGCGCTGGCCGCCCTGAGGCGGCAAGGACAACGCAAAGGCCACGTGTTCAGATAACTTGGCGCAGCATTAGTTTTCCGCTATGTCCTCGTAGAAGCAAACCAACTAGGGAGTCATGTCTGCCGAGAAGGCTCGATTCTGGCGCAGAAAGGGTGAAAGCTCCTATGCAACTTGGGGAGACCTTACAATCGGAACCTTCATCACACACTTTTGTCCTATTCAAAAGGCTTTGAGTACTCTGAATACGTTTTACTTCCTCGAAAGCCATCGACTAACTAGGCGTGGGCACTGATTGTTTCGCAGGTCGAGGAAGTCGAGAAAGAGCGCGAGACGGAGATGCTTGCTGCTGAGGCGCCCATCAGGCAGACCAAGGAGCAGATGGCCAAGGACCTGGACAGCGCCCGGCGGGCCTTCCGAATCGAGTCCAAGCGGCCAACCCTGGAAACGAGCTCCAATGACGTGAGTACTACGCTTTTTGACGTTGCGTTCGACATGGAGATGATTGTTGGACCTGTTACTAAGAAGGTTATTGACGTAATATTTTCTTGAACTAATCTTTCAATGATAACGGGCGAAGACTCTCGTCAGGAGGTTTAGCAATACGCCTTTAAGTGAAAAGGCCAACCCTTCACCTCCTACTTATCACCGTGACTGCTTTTTATCGCTGCGACTGTCAGAGATTGGCGGCTTGCGGCGCAAGGGAAGTCTCTATTCAGCCGCTGCAGTCTGCAAGTTATGCATGTGGTAACTGCGTGGGCGGACTTGAAGTGATTGACAGATTTTGTCGCGCTGGGACAAAATCTGTCCCAGCGTGGGAAGCTGGGACAAGCTTGGGTTCGATTGTATTCCGCATTTTGTTTTGCCAGTGAGTCAGGAGAATTTGTGATGCCTGCGTTATTTCGGCAGAGCTGACAGCGAAATTAAGGCGTACACAAGGCAAGGACTGTCTCGGGCCCCTTAAACCCGGTGTCACGATGTTGCTTTCGACGCCGGAGGTTTACGCTATTGAACAGCACTAAAAGTTCCGGAAACTTGTGTGCAGCTGAGTTCACCTATCATCTCCCCTTGGCAAGCACTGAAGCTGTGCACCCAAGCTAAAAGCATCCTCAGCTTAGGTCTGAAGGTTCAAATGCGGGCTGAAAAGCTTCATGGAGCCTCCAGATTGTTTACATAAGCAGCGGGCCGGGCATTTTCCCTCTATTTGTTGACTGGTTCTGCGTTCAATCAATCCCGTCGGACGCAACCTCGAATCGAAGATCGCGGTGTTTCAACACTAGGGAAACTGGCAACATGTTGACCCCGGGTGTTAAGGGGCCCGAGTGTGCCAAAGTCTGTTCCAAGAATGAGTAACCTGTTTTCATTGCTGGCTGCAGGACAACCAGCTGTGGAGGCAGCAGTGGAACAAATTAGGCCAGGATGACTGGGTGTCAAAAACCAGGACCTCTTTGCAGCTAGCATTCAACACTCAAGAGAACTCTCAATCTCAGGACAGCCCCCGACCCGTTGCATTTGCCACGCTCAACCCCACGTTGCTGAGCTTTGGCGGGCCTTCGTGGCAGTGGAAAAAGTAGTACAATAGTTGGAGGCTTACTCGCGGAAGTCAGGGCTAAGGTAAAGAGACGAGACGATGGCCGCAATTGCGGTTACTAGAGCTAGGGGTGAACGAGAGCGAGTTGATCAGTGGCAATCTTGCAAACAGACCGGACCTCGATCATGTGACGAGCCTGAGATTTGGTCGCAGCCTGCATGGCTGGCTTGTATCCATTGCACTGTATTTGCGAAGGACTTCAGAAGCGTTCTCTGCTCGGTAGTTAGTGGTCAGTTAATACAGCAATGCCATACAACGAGGTCATTCGCTCGTTGGCTTGTGAAATTGTCAACCTATCAAAGTCGGTCGCTAATGGAAAAATGAAGTGAGTCACAACCTGAATATCAATACGTGTGACCTTCAATCAAAGCTATCAACCTCGCACTCCGAGGCATGTTGCTAACAATGCCGGACGAGCTGAACCCCATTGATTACAGCAAAGCCATCTTTCCGAAGTTCAGCCCCTCAAAACCGTATAAGCCATTGTGTCGCGTCTAGCTGTACCAAATTGAAAGTTCGGGCCGGGTCTTATCGCTGAAGCACGAATCTTTATTGGATTGATGGGCTTGCGCGAGTCAATGCTATAATAGACCTCAGCATGTTTTGCAGCATGCGAACATTGTTGCACTTCGTAGATAGTGCAATTATATATTCAATCGCAATTTGAAAGTTATATACTGGCAGCATATGCCATGCCAGCTAGATTGTCATTACGAGTCAACATGAATCGCGGATCGATTAATTGCAATGATGCCGCCGAAGGGCTTCAATGCTTCCGACTAGCTAGGATAGCATGAACAGACGCGCGTGCCAGTATACAAGTTTGATAACGATGTGCATGATGATCCATATACTCGATAGTTCACATGGCATTTGCACGACCAGATTAAATCTGCCCATGCTAAGTTCCCCCTCGGTAGTTGCACATACACCAACCTTTCTTGCAGCTAGGATCAGTGTTTATATGCAATTTTTCGAGTTTTACAGCGCAAAGCTTGCTGCGCATATGTTCAAAAACATGCGGCAATCAATAACATGGGAACGCTAGGCCGCGCCCTCGATTCGATCAGGCTTGTGCACGCTCGCATGAATATACACGTAGCGCCGCACCGGTTCAACCGGAAAATGCGCGTCACAAAAAGTACTCGATTGCAATTGGCTGCATGGTCATTGGCCAACCGGCCGGAGCTCGTTGTATCTTTGAGGTCTAGATCTATCGGGACAGTGCACGAAAGTAGTACTGATGTTTTTGATTATGTAGGAGCATGCGCAAAACTCAGTGTTGCCAGATCGAGGAACTTGTTTTTGCCTGACTAAATCTCCGGTTGTATTGATCGGACCAGACTGTCCGCGCAGAGACTTCAAGATACATGACGCACTAGAAATGCACTAGGCTCTAGCGCCACCTCAATCGTATATCACGCTTTCAGATTCTGCTGCACGTTGAAGCTGCGCACGGGAATACACATTTCGAGGTATGGTACTGGTATAAGGTGCATGGCTGCTTGGTAAGTACGTCGAAAGCTTTATAGACGGTTTGCATGAAAATCTTGTTTGTTGGATCGTCGAAATTACGGTCATCCTGATGCTCTCGGTCCATTCTCTATATGCTGTTCGTGAAACCCTTACCAACGAGCAATAACAGGGCGATGGGTCCTGAAGTGTGAGTCCGCTACTTCATCTTCTAATCTACCAGTGCCCAAAGGCCCGGACTTTGCAGACCGGTAAACTGGGTCGTCTTTACTATCAGAACTCGAGGCCAACGATCGCCAATTTGGCAAACTGCTCGAAGTCGAGCACACCGAGCTTCTTGAGGCGCTCCCACTTCTCCGGAACCTCCGGATCGAGGCACACGTAGTGCACTTCGGATGCCGTGCATTTGAGCGCCTCCACGGCTTTCTTCTTCAGCTCGTCAAAGTAGTCGTCGGGGCAAGGTCTGTCCGCGCGGCCGAACTTGTCGTCCACACGGTTGAACGCAACAATCAGGTGCGACGTCTCCAGACTCTTCTTCATCATGTTGTTGTACATCTCGACGTGCTCTGTCTTGATGTCATTCTGCAGGCAGATTGGAAACCAGATGACCCCCGTTTACTACATTGGTTCAAAAGCTACAATTCACACAAGGTTGACGACGTCTCGGCGGCCGCACCTGACTAGGCCCTTGGATCTGTTGGGTCAGGGCAGTCTCGATCATTGCCAGCTCAGTTTGCAGCTTTTTATAGGAACATTGCTTTAGAGAGTTTCTATGTTGATCTTGATGGATGGTCTAGTGGCAGCCTGAACGTTAAGATGATTGGTAGCGTGGACCTAGGGTGCTAACAGAATCCAGAGCCGCAAACTCCATTTTGAGAAGCGGAAAGTCAACCCAGGGTCAAACCAGCGTTCAAATCGAAAAGATTGGAAACGGCTTCCTAAATCTGGTGCTTCCAGTGGGTTGGTTTGATTGCGAGATAGTGCTAGATGGCAGGTCTGCGATGGGCAGCGAGAGGCAATGTGATTGGAAATATGCTCGGAGTAGCATCCAGATATACCGAGATGACCAAGACAAGCGGACGAATCTGAGGGTGCATGTTTCTGTAAGCTTCAAAACACCTCCGACGGACAGAACACGGCGCGCGAGGTTTGGGTCGCTTACGTTGAAGTGCAGCAGAAGAATCGCGGAGCTGGGCAGAGAGGTGAATTGCTGCCACGAGTCGGCGTAATCGCCTAGGCCGTTTCCTCCAGGGAAGTCCACAAGCCACAAGCTCTCCGTGATCTCGTACGGAAAGACCACCCTAGTGTGGAGATGATCACCAACTGCCGGGGTAGTTTTTGACTTGACGCCCTTGGCGAGCATCACCTTCTGCAATCGAATTAAGAGAGTCGAGTGAGGACTGCTCTCAGTTTCCAGGGTTCCCCACTGCAGTGTTACGACAGAAATGCGTGCCCACATTTGGAGTGAATCGAAGCGGATGAAAAGAAGGTCGGCTTGATTACTCGCAATGGTCAAGAGCGGTGCACTTTTTTTCTCCATTTGACGTCTCACAACAACTCTTTTAATCTTTCAAGCAGACACAATCACAAGGCCATGAACCATGACTCTACGTCGGCGTCAGAGCTCCCGTTCTATGACTGCCGTTGCAAGTAGTCCCGTTGCAAGTAGTCCCGTACCTTGATGAACGTGGACTTTCCAGCATCTTCAGCTCCCACGATACCTACGAAGCGGGTCGATTTGATCGGCTTGTACAGCTTCGTGGCCGCCACAATCATCTTGATGCGCCTCAGCAGGTTGCGACGAGTCTCCTCCGTCGAGCCCAGCAGCAGTTTGTACTTGAACGTGGGCAGTGCCCCGTTGGGCTTATCAACCAGCCGGGCAAAATCCGTGGACTTGACGACTGCGAAGAGGAACGACAAACTTCAGAAGGATTCCCAGCGCCTCCGCCGGAGGCGTCAAGACGGAAATCATATCGTAGTCACCACGTGTGAGTTTCCTGTTGAATACGCTCTCGAACGGGAATAGTAGATACATCGTCTCTATTCGGCTTTGTGAAGCAGGGCTTGCATGAGGCGGGCCGTTCCAAGAAGTCGCACACTATGCACAGTTGCTGTTTTCCAGGGCGCTCACTGCACAGGACAAGCTACCTGCTCTTGGTGCAGAGACGTTGGCTGAGTGCAGGAACAAATGGTGCCCAACATCGTTGGATAACTTCTACGAAGTTCTTTCAATGCTGCCCAGGTTACTGCCTTTGCCTAGCAAAACTTCGTGACGGGCCGGCTACAAGAAGCTGCTGCTTCGGCCAGCCGGCAGCCCTCGAAACAGTGCTGCGCGCGCTTACCGAGTTTGCCCAGTTCCTGTTCCAGCGACAGCAGCTGCGCATCCTCGTCTTTGGGGAGCTCTTCGTCGGGCTTGTATTCTGGCGTCCAGAGGCGCGCCTCGTTGACCGCGAGCTTCAGCACGTCCACGTACGAATCAATCAGAAACTCCGACTTGCCAAGCGCAACACCCGTTACAGTAAGTCCGACGCCGGCAACGGTCGCGGCAGCGCCCCCTCCAGCAACTCCAGCTGCGCTTCCGGCCAGAGCAAGAGAAGTCGCATAGCCGAGGTAGAACAAGCCCGCCCCTGCGGTTGCTACTACGGCCCCCCCGGCAAGGGCGACCAGCCCAATCGCAGCGATGCCCACTCCGCCAATCTCAAGCGCCCTTGGATCGTACTGGATGCTAAACCTGCGGCGGGATATAATCCGGTTGAGCCGCAAGGTGCAGCCCGACATTGGTTTGATGAAAATCAAGTGCTTCTATGTTAAAGCTGAGATTATCGCGTCGAACGGTCATCACCTTGACGTATCCTTTTGCGGAGGCAATTAAACGAGGACCTCTGAGACGGCAAGGCACAATTGACATGGCGCCACAGAACGGGCACCTCAGTTCTCTCGTATTTCTGAATTGTCAGGTCCGTCAGCGTTCGGGTTGGATTATGGCTGTGGTAACATGACCAGGAGCTAAGATAAATGAGGCTCTGAACCCGCGGGACAAGGAAGGATTCAATCGTGGTTCCAATCGGACGAGTCTTCGAGCAGCAGGATCCGAAGAAACACAAGTAACCTAATGGTCAGAAATTGGCAAGCACGCGCGCAAATCGTTCATCTCGGACAGACCTACCCGCCAGACAGGAACGTGATCGCCTTTTGAACCATTTTGTTGACGTTCCGGATCTCGGTGCGGTTCGCGTCAGGACCTTGGCGAGAGCTGGAGATGACCTGGATTGACTTCGTGAAGCTGCTGCCCTTCGAAGCTGGTATGCCTGCAGCGAAACATGCGTGGTTTACTGGCTTCGGGGCAAAGAAAAGGCTCAAGGCTGAGTGGGCCACGTTTAGGCCGCCACTATTAAACCTTGAACTGGAAATGACCAAACGGAGTTCGAAACGCCGTTTTGGGCCTATCCTCCTCAGAAATCAGAATCTGATGATAGCCCGATGTCAAATCCAACGACGTGAAGTAT